CCAAGCTGATTTTATTTTACCTGTATCCTTCTGCCGGAGTGACTGTAATATCTCATATATAGAAGCAACCGCATGCTTTTCTGTTATACAATCCGCCAGGCATTGGTCAAGCTTACCTGGAGTTGCAAACTCAAATTGTTGTAGTTGGGACCTTACATAGCTCCTTATTTGAAGGTATCTAAAAAAATAAAAAAAAATCACAGGCTAGTAAATTGTACTTCTCCTTAAGCTGTTGAAATGAAGCAAAAGAGCCCTGAAAATACAGGTGTCCCACATTTCGCAACCCCATTTCCTTCCAGCGATCAAATGTCCCATCTAAAACTGAGGGTCTGAATGCAGGATTAGCTGTAATAGGTGTCAAAAGCGAGAAGGCTCTGAGTCTATACTCTTTCACGATCTGTCTCCAGATTTGAATTGTATTGTGAATAACTGGATTACAGTTGTAGTATGTATTTTTAAAACGAACAGGAGACAATGCAATTGCACCAAGAGAATGAGGCATACAGTCCTCTCGCTCCATGTCCAACCAACTTCCCATTATAACTGTATCATGTAGCCAATAAGCTATGTATTGCATATTAGCTGCGAAGTAGTAATTTTTAAAATCTGGTAAGGCTAGACCACCATGTATTTTCTCTTTACAAAGGTGGGCCTTTTTTATCCTGTGGCTCTTGTAGTTCCAGATAAAAGGGAGAAGGACTGAATCCAATTTTTGAAAAAATGTAGCATTTAGATACACAGGGATATTTTGAAACAGATATAGGAGTTGGGGGAGACAAATCATTTTGATCGCATTCACCATACCTATCATGGAAAGTGGGAGTGATTTCCAAAATTCAACCTCGTTTTTAAATGTATCCAGACTTGTATGACTTAGTAACTTCAATTCCAAGATATGAAAATTTTTCTGACATTATTCTAAAGGGAAGACGATTTAGTAAATCAAGATTACTGCATTTAATTGGCATCAGTTGGCTCTTCCCCCAATTTACTTTGTAACCTGAAAAAGAGCTAAATAAATCTATTGTTACTAGCACCTTAGGGATTGAGTCTAATGGTCTGGTTACAAACAGCAGAATATCGTCAGCATACAGTGAGATCTTATTAGAGGTGTATCCTGCATTATAGCCATGTATTTCTTTATGTTTCCGAATTGTTTCTGCCAACAGCTCTAATGCGAGGTCAAACAATAAAGGGCTCAGCGCATATCCTTGTCTTGTGCCACGAAATAGCTTAATTGGTTCGGAAAGGGTATTGTTTGTGAGTATTCTGGCACACGGATTACTATATAACAATTGAATCCAGGAAACAAATTTAGGTCCAACTCCGAACTTACTTAATACTGCATATAGATATGACCATTCGACACAGTCAAAGGCCTTTTCTGCATCAAGGCTCAGTATCACTAGGTCTTTATCTGGATCCCTAGAGGAATAAATAATGTCAAAAAGACGTCTCAGGTTATAAGATGCATGTCTTGCTGGGATAAACCCTGTTTGATCTGGGTGAACCAGTTTACCTATGTGAGAACTAAGTCTCCTGGCTAAAGACTTGGCCAGTATTTTCTGATCTGTGTTCAATAAAGAGATTGGTCAGTAAGAACTCACCAATTCTGGGTCCTTTCCGTTCTTTGGAATGAGAGTCACAGTTGCTTCATTCAGAGTCTGCGGGAGTGCACCATCTTTCAAGGCCATATTAAACATTTTCAGCAAATATGGGGTTAGTAAACTGCTAAACTTTTTATAAAACTCAGTACATAGACCATCAGGTCCTGGGCTCTTCCTGTTTTTCAGGGAGCGTATGATATTAATCAATTCTGGACATGTTAAATCTGCATCTAGAAGTGTCCTGTCCTTTTGTGCCAATGTGGGCAAGTTACATTTGCTTAGAAAATCCTGCATAATTTCAGGAAGTGCATTACACTGAGATGTATATAACTGTTCATAAAACTGTCTAAAAGCAGTGTTAATATCCTTATAAGAATTAATCAACAACCCTGAGTCTGACCTGATTGCATGAATAGCCCTATCACTTTCTCTCTTCCTTAAATGCCTGGCCAGTAATTTATGTGGCTTATCGCCAAATTCAAAATAGGTCTGCTTAAAGCCCTGGAAATTTTATCTGAGAGTAAGTTATTGAGTTTATACTTCAGAGCTGATATTTTACTATGTAGCTGTACAAATGGTTGTCTGGCATTCACAGAGTCCAATTTTTGTATTTGAACCTCCAACTGTATGCGTTCCATGTTATTACGTTTTTTCTCAGACGACTGAAAAGAAATTACACAGCCTCTAACATATGCTTTAAACGTCTCCCACAATAACAGAGGTGATACATCATCTTTGTCATTCATCTCAAAAAACAACTTGATCTGTTCTTCCAGCTAATTGCAGAATGTTTTCCTCGTAAGAAGTTGAGGGTCTAATCGCCAGTGTTTATAATTACCACCTGATTCCAGTAAATTTAGTGAAATAGACACTGGGCTATGATCTGATATAAGGATATTATGATATTTATTACTCTGGACTCCATGTAACAGTTTACATCTAATAGAAAGTAGTCTATACGGGAGTACGTATTATGAACCCCAGAGTGAAAGGAATATTCCCTTCCGGTTGCATTCAACGTTCTCCAAACATCCACAAGACCCAAATTATCAATAAATGATTTCAGAAACCTAGAAGCATTCGATGGCGCAATTCTCTGAGCTGACGACCTGTCTAGATAGGTATCTAAAACTAAATTAAAGTCTTCCCCAAGTATCAAGTTTGTAGTTGAAATATCCGGGATCAAGCTAAACATTTTTCTAAAAAACTCTGGGTCATCCCTGTTCGGGCCATAGACATTCAGCAATGTGATTGGTATAGACTGAATTTCTCCTACCACCATGATATATCTCCCCTCCTTATCTGCCAGGGTCGATTTATGTATGAATGGCACATTTTTACGAATAATTATTGCTGTACCCCTTGCCTTTGCAGAAAACCTTGAGTGATAAACCTGCCCTATCCACTTAGCTGTAATCCTGCAATGTGCATCATTTTCAAGATGGGTCTCCTGATAGAAAATAACATCTGATCTCAATGACTTTAGGTATGCCAACAGCTTACCACGTTTTATTGGTTCATTGATGCCATTCACATTCCAAGAGCAAAAGGTTACAAGCCCTCTCCTGTTCACCCCATCATTTCCATCACCATCTACCGAGGCCATATTGTTAGTGATTTATGTGTATTGTCCCATATTGACTAGAACATTTTCTACCATAGCACCTTCCCACCCAACAACCCCACCCACGAAAATACAAAATAAACACAGCAGAAATAATAAAAAAGAAAAACAAACAAACAAACAACAAAAAAACCCCACATACACCTAGGTCATAGCAGGGAGGGGAGCCTGCCATCCTCCCAACAAGACCACGTGTACTTCCAACCATCCTCTGTCGCAACCACCGACATAACAAGTGCCCTGTGTAGCTCCATAAAGACATTAAGCATAGACCAGATATCACAAAAAGAAGGATCAGAAGGTACATTATCGTCACTATTAAACAAAACAATACAGTTATTCAAAAACAAGTTAAAGGGTGTCTAACTAGCAGCCCTTAAAACCAAGTATGAGACCGCAACATGTAACATCATTAACAAGTATAACGTTACTAACATATGCCTTTAACCGCAGGCTACCCGGATTATTGACTCTTAGGTACACAAAGGAAAAAAAACAAAAAAACAACCTGTCTGTAGTAAAGTGCTAGATGTCACCTGCGTAGAGGTTCTTCGCATTCTGGGTGGTGTATTGTGGCATTATCTGCCCTTATCTCACGTGGGATAGGATCCAGTGATCCTCCGTTATCCACGTCTCCAATGAGGCGTTCTGCATACTGTCGTGCTTTTTCCGGGTCAGTAAAAAAATTCTCAACACCGTCGTGAGACACTCGTAGTTTGGCTGGGTAAAGAAGTCCGTATTTGACTCCCAGTTTGTCGCGTAGCATCCTCCTCACAGCGGTGAACGTAGCTCGGCGCTTTGCCACCTCAGGTGGCAGGTCCCGGAAAATCTGAATCCACCGGCCACAAAATGTTATATCCCGGGTGCCCATGACTTTCTTCATGATGTCCTCATAGGTGTGGCAGTAGTGAACTCTTACAATAAGATGTCGAGGTGGTTCGTTATCTCCGGGCTTCTTTCTCAAAGCTCTGTCAATCACAGGTGTTTCGTCCAGTCCAAGCGCTTCTTTTAACAGCCTCCCTGCAAACTCCATGGCATTCTGCCCGTCCTCTTTGCCTTGTTTCACCCCTACCACTCTTAGGTTCTGACGCTTCGAGCATCCCTCAAGGTCGAGGCATTTTTCAGAAAGCGATGTCACTTGCCCACGGAGCGTCTCAACTTTGTTCTCCAACTCCCGTATTGCATCGGATGAGCCGCTAGCCGTGTTGGCTAGCTCTTGCAGCGTATGGCCATGTGACTCTATCTCGTTCCTTAGCGTTGTTATGGCTTTGTCATTCTCGGCTTTCAAGCTGGCTATCTCCCCTCTTAATACAGCTGTGACTTCTGAGATCTTATTTTCAATTTTGTCACAAATTTCAACCTTAACACCTGCCAGTTCAGAGCGGAGTGCCGCAATAGCCCCCAACACTATATTGTCTGTGCTCGTGACGGTTCCGCTGGCGTCTTTACTGTGGCCGGAGGCTTCACTCGGGCCTTCCCCGTCCGGCGTGTCCAACTTTGGCAAAACTTTTTTGGGCATTTTCAACTGGTGTGTAGACACCCAGCCACTTTATCAGACAGTAGTTTAAGTTACCTTCGGTTACTGCGTATAATCACGGTCTATTTGGAGTTTTAGGATCGAAATTAAGCGGAGCTACTGCCGTGTCAACCTCACACAGTGAGACCTGTGTGAAATTATCCAGCTCAATGTTGTTACAAATTTTGCGTAGTGACAGTCACTGAAGGATTAATTCTTTTTTTTTATTGAGGCTGCATGCTCTCAGATCTCTGATAACAAGATGGTTCGGCCTCCAGGCTCAGCTGGGTTTGGTGTTAATGCTGGTGTTGGGAGTCGCGGCCAGTGTAAGCTCAGTGTCTGCGTATACGCTGGGCGCCCGCGCCTGTGTTTGTTATGTAGAGGAGGGGCTGGGGCTGCCGTAGTTGGGGTGCTCGCTTCAGGTTATTCATATTGGTTGTAGAGGACTCAGCATTTGAGCCTATGGAAAGAGAGGGAATAACAGAATGAATGCTCAGTACAGTGATGACGAAAGGTGAAAGAGGAATGATACTTGAAGATTGGAGACACATGAACATGAGTTATTTAAAGGCTATGTGTATGTATAATGTCATGTATATACCTGAGGGGTGTAATCATGTGAAGCTGAGCAGTAGAAAATACACTTTACATGTTTTGCATATTATAAAATGTACATAAGGAGGTTTCTCAGATTGTGCTCGGCAGTGTAACAACTTTAAGGAAGACTATCTCCTCACAGGCAGTGAAATTGGTTTACCTGTTTGCTGGCTGCTGTGGGGAGGCCTGACTTTGGCGAGAGGAGGGACCCCTCGGTACTGGGGGCGTAGCATAGGGGCCTGGGGTTGAACATTAATGTGGAGATGAGGGTCTGATGTGCTGTCCAGAGGGCGAAACCTCTGAGCTGTGCTCGTCTTGGTTTGAGGTACCTGGAAGTTAGATGAAGAACACTAATAGACTCATCTTCCAAGACACACGGCATACGCCCATACCAGTGACATATATGTAGTGACATAGTACACAGAGGGAATAACTCTAATATACAGTCTATAGTACCAAGCGGCTGGCTTAAATCCTTATAAGACAAATGATTACCACAAAAGAAGCCACCCCAGGCCAGTCATATTAGTCCTCTTGTTAACACAGACTACTGATAATCTACAGACATCAACATTATGTGACACCTTTCACGCGTCTTGTGGCAGTTTGAAAAGAAAGCCAAATACTAACCGCTTGACCTGTGACCTCGAAAGAGCGTGAGCGTCTCTTTTTGCGACGGCCTTCTAAGTCTGCCTCGCGAGGCGTTTGGTTCTTGTTGAGCACCTGTCGGTTACGTGGGCGTGTCCAGGTCACATGCAAACCAGGTCCCTCCCCGGTGCTGCTGGACAGGTTATCGTCTGAAGTGGCGTGTCTCAGCTCGGGGCTGGGCTGCCTGACGCGCCTCATTGGCAAACCTCTAGGGGGAGCTTCGCTTAAAGAAAGGCTGCTCTTCTGCTTCTTGGGGTCCAGGGGAGATGGTGCAGGAGGTAACCGCAAGACATCCACCTCGAGCGCTTTGGAGCGCCGACGTGCTGCTTTTACTGCAATGTTCTGGACCCCCTTTAAAATCTGCTGCCGTTCTGTGGAGACACAGGTAATTTCTTTTCACTGTCATTTTTAATCTCCATTCACACAACAGAAAGAAAGCTAGTTAACAGAGAAACACTACTTTTCCCCATTAGCACTGATTTAATTGTTATAACTGAAAATCAATCGCTCATATTAAACATGAAGAAGATCTGCAGAATATTTCTTGTGTCCTGCTTCAAAAAATACACTTCTAGGTCACCGTGAAATCTGAAGGCTTCATCCTGAGCACTGATGCAAAGTGCTTTAAAAAAATCTTACATCATGGAAACAAACAATCATCAAACTCAAGGGTTTATTGATTTTCTGTTACCTGCATTTAAATACTCCCCCTGTATTTAAACTGTAGATAAAAACTCTGTTAAAATTCCCCAAAGTTCATATGTCCTCATTTGAATATCGTACCATTTATTGAGAGGGGGATATCGGCCCCTGCCTCGCTGCTCTCAGGTGATGAGTCCAGGTGGCTGCTGACACTGTGGCTGAGATGGCTGTAACTCAGAAAGCTCTCAGGAGCCAGAGGCTGCAGCTGCAGACGTGAGATGCAGAGTGCCACATTACGATATGACATTCACTGTGGTACTTTGCTTTCAGTCGGTCTGTCTGAGTGTCAGTGAGGATTAATCAATTCTATGGCTCTCCAAAATGAAATTTTAATTCTGAATGGGGCTCTGGTGGACTCTGGTGAACATAACTTTATCTTGCCAATGAATCACATCTCTCAGATGCATTTACACAGGAAAAAATAATGAGCTGGAGGTGATGAAACAAAGATGTAATTCTTTGGTAAGCTTAGCAAAAAAAAGCCTGAACATAGGAGTCAATAGTGAACATTTTATTATGGACAGGCGAATGTTGAAAAACAAAGGGATTAATAGAGTGAAGTATATCTGAGAGTGAAATTCAAATACGAAGCCATGTGAAGAGAAGCTCTTCTGCATTTTCTCACAGCTGATAAAGCAAAATGAACAAAACCAGATGGTGTTATAGTTGTGCTTACCTCTCTGTTGCCCTTCCCATTTATGTGGATAGGAGGTGGGGTCATTACTGCTGAATTTTTCATTTGCCTGGCATGAGGGCTGCTCTTGAAAACTCTGTTATTGTCCCTAAAGCCGGGAATAAGAGAACAAAACTGAGAACCTACAGTATGTATCCAGATAGTGTAACGAGTTAAAAAGCTTTAAGGCACACATGAAAAAGATGTCCTCTTACAGATCAGGTTCAGGCAGAATGGGAGGCAGGGTATGTCTGCGTATTTTGGCTTGACCTCGCCTGTTATCTGAGCACATGTTACGTATGCTCTCCTGGTCTGAATCTATGTCCTGCATGTTGTCACGACCGCGAGAAGGCAAGGCGATTTTAGGTAGCGAGACCTCCTGGAAGTAAGCACATAGGAGTTAGTTGTACCTTGTGTTCTTCTAAGCTTAATACTACTATAGTATCACTTAGTTTAGACTTTACGTGTCAGCTGTGGTTACCTTGATGGTCTGCCTGATTGTCACCTTTTCTAGGCCAATTGCTTTCTCCAGTTTCCTATCATCTAGTTCCTTCATGTACATATCATACAGCTCCTGAAGGTGTGGAGGTACGGGCAGACTGTGGTCTGTAACACGGAGGATAATTCATGTCAGGAAATAATTTCATAAAAAAAACAAATCAAAAACAACTGATGAGCTCCTTCATGATTATTCAATTGTCTAACTGTCTGGTTCAAAGTAACCTCATTTCACTTCATTGATATTAAACTATAAAGTGCCTAATAACCCAGTTAGCAGTGCTATATGTATTTAGATTATGTTTGTTTTTAACAAACTTCGGAGTCATAATGCTCACATACTCACCATCAATGAACTGTCTCTGCTGCTGAATAATTTCGTCACACAGGTGTCTGTGCTGTTCAAAACGCTGCACCACAAAGTTTTTCTGTCGGATCACGTTGTCTTTGAGCAGAGCGTGGGACTGCATCTCTGCGTTCTCAATCTCCAGCTCGTGGACCTTACAGAGAAGTCCTAGGACCTCGCGTTGCTCCTCTGAGCTAACCCGCCGCGGCAGCAGCTCCTCCAAGCGCCGGGCCTGATCCCGAAGCTCCAGAAACCTACGCTCAAGCAACGCCTTTAAACGAAAGGTATAAAGGCACATTTTAAAAAGCAGACTGTATTTCAGACACTAAAAATATTATGTATGCACTACAGTCAAAGGTTTTATAAGAATGATTCTGTTTTCTGCTATTTTTTTCTAGTTGTAGACAGACATTCCCACCTTCTCCTTGTGAATCTTTTTCTGTTCAGCCATGAGTGCAACCAGATTTTCTCGAGCTATTGCCACCTCCTGAGTCTCCGTGGTGTCTGGAGGAGACTCTGAGGAATCAGAGTCCTTCTCGCTTTCATCCTTATTGACACTTTCCTTCCTCCTCTCCGCACGCCACTTTCTCCTGCGCCTGCCGCGCTCCTGTTCCCAGCTAAGAGAAGAAAATTACACATGGTCACTGACAGAGACAATAATATCTGGTTAATGAAGGCACATTTGAAAGTACATAGTTGAAAAAGTCTTCTGTTTTTAAAAAAAAAAAAAATGTGGCCAATAAAATTCATTATTACATTTGATTTATGTTGTTTTTTAGTTTTTTTGATCAGACTTACAATAATTTATATTTATATAATCCACAAACACTGACACTTTCAGGCAACTTTAAGCACGACAAAGACATGCTGTGAGTTTTCAACATATTATCAAATAGCTGGATTTAATAATGTTACAAAGAGAAATACAGGATAAATAGTGTTGGTTAAAGAAGGGAGAAACATGACAAAAAGGCTTGAAACTGACTCTGTAATAGTTAAAAGATTGTTAGAGGTGGCAATCTGGATCTCCATGTTGTTGTTTTCCAGCTCCATCAGGCTCTTCCTGATCTGCATCTGTTGGCGGAAGGCTTCCAGAAGCTGCTCCCTCAACAAATCCATCTCCTCTCGACTCTGCTGGCTGGAGTGGGCCTGGACCTCTGCTACAAGGGAAGGGATGGAGATTAGACTCAAAGAGCTCAAAAAGCAGGTATTTTTCAAATATTAAAGTCAGCTGTGAGTGCGAGACCTTACCCTGAACATTGCGGATGTCAGCTCGGTCAGAATTGAGCTGTCGACTCGCCTGTTCGGCAATCTTCTTTTTCAACCTCTCGATCTCGCAGCGCAGGTCTGAGATGATATTGGTGTACTGAGCAATGTGGTATGACACATTTATCATGTTCTTCTTCACCTAAAGGACAAAGATGACAAAGAATACTTGAGATATACTTTGGATATATGAATTATACAATAGAAGTTGGATTTCTAACTGCAGAAAGTTGAGTTGAAGCTACATTAATTTATTTAACTTCTGCTAGAGTGAAGCAACACTGAGACATAAAATATTACTCAGCTCACCCGTGTTCGAATACTTTTGGCACGGTCTGCATATGTCAGCGTGTTACGAGACTCCTCAAAAGCTACAGAGGCAGGGCTAATATGGGCTATCATGACCGTTCGGCTGTTTCCGCCCAAGGAGTCCTTTTGTTTAAAAAAAGAATGATAAATATAAATACACACACAAAAAACATCTAAATCATCAACACAGTTGGTCCCATATAAACCTTTAGAGGACTGTACCTTCAGGAGACGAGTCAACTTGCTGTCTCGATAGTTGACATACTTGTTACCATTTTTGTCACTCAGGGCGTTAATGCAGTTGCCCAAAGCCAGGAGGGAACGGTTGATGTGGGCCCCTTCCTTCAAACGCTGACCTCTATTTTGAGTCTGATAAAATAAAATAAAAATGGATGAGTAATGAGAAAACTTCAAATATGCTTTTAAAAAAGGAAAATATTCCCCCGTTTCTTTTACTGCTCTGAAGGTGATTTAAGTAATATAATAATAATAATAATAATGATATAATAATAACAGTAATATTATGATAACACTTACTTTTGGGTGGAACTGACAAAAAAACTGAATAAGTATCAACAGATTAACACAGTTTAAACCTTTTAAATTAATAAGTTATACTAAATAGAGAATTCATTAATGATGGTGATATTTGAGCTATGTTTTCACAGGCTTTACAGCCCCCGGACACCAGGGGAGTGTCAACATTAGTAAACTATTGTTGGCTGTTTCTTTCGGTGGTGTAGTTGACATGTTTCCACTCCTGACCAATAGATGGCATTAGCTCCAATGCTTGGTCCATCTACTACTAAAATAACACAACCTCACCTTTTGCTAACTACATGGATGCCTCTTGTTTACAGGGAGAGAAAATGTTCTTTGCAGCTTCATGTGACTAACACCTGTGAGGTATGCTCAGCCTTGTAATGCGCAATTCATCAATATTATGCCTTTGAATCATTCAAATAGTCTCCATGACAAATAAGTGCTCTCACAGCCTGACCGCATGATTATCTCATGGTGAAGAACAACAAGCCTGTGGTAAAATGAGCATCAGTGACAAGCTATTCAAATGAAGGAATAAAGCAGTCTCAACCTGAACAACTGCCAAAAAGAAAAAAACAACTGAACAAATACTTGAGTTTTTCTCACTTAACCGCTTGCAAAGAAAAGGTCAAGGCGATAATAGAACCCAGAAAATGAAATGGCTCGCAGATTCTCTTCATCGCTGTACTGATAAATACCAGTGTGACAATACTAAAAAGAAATTCCATGTACTGCTCTTCGCTTTTATATCTGTCATTCTTATTTTCTCTGTGAAGAATGTGCTTTAATATGTCATCTTCCAAGTCTTTATTTTGTGTTAGTTTTCTGTAGAAATATCTAGAACACTTTTCATAAATTCCTGGAAAACAAAACAGTGTTGTCTAAAAAAAAGAAAAAAAGTGCAGACATCAGATTTCATTTATGAAAAGAAACGAGTTGTGATACCATTAACACAGTTACGGGATTCATGTTTCTGACCACCTGTCAAATTTAAGTCCACTATGAACTGTTTTTGACTCTACTTAGGTAGAGGTTGCAGGTATCATGTCACAAATATATGTTAAAATGAAAAAACAAAAGCTGGTGGCCACTGGTGGACATATCCTACTGGATCAAGGGACTCAGATTATATTATATTTTTTATAAGTCTCCTAAGATTTATGATAACGTCTATCCTCTGAAGAAATCATTCATTGTTCCCCATGGAGACACGATTCATGGAGCAAACCCTTGTACTGTATACAGACACATCACATTAGCCACAGCCTTGAATCTTGACTTCGGTGGGTAAGCACTTGATAAAAGTAGCTTCACCCACACTCACTCCCTCTGAATAAATATATACATATATAAATATATATATATATGTACACACACCTGTGCTGCTCGTTCGGAGCCGGCGAGGTCAATCATGAAGAGGCGTGCAAAGCGGACCTCCTGCAGAACGTCACGACAGCGGCTCTGCTGTTTGACAGCTACTTGTAGCACAGCGTGGGAGCGAGATGACGTCTGATTGGCGGCTGTTGGCTCCTGGGTGCGCTGTTTGTTGCCCTTCATGAGGAGCTCCATGATCTAGAAAAACACAGGTGTGAGTTATTTCTGGTCTTTGTAATTTCTGAGTGTTTTGATTGAAATAAATGGGTCATGTAGTGCTTGGAAAGGTAAACTGACTCACCTCTTGAGCATTGATGGTGGACACCTCTGTGATTCCAGCAACCTGAATAACTCCCTTAGAATCTTCTCTTAGGTCTAAGAAGCCTGAGGATGGATTCAGCAGGTCACGGATCATCTCATTGTAGATCTAATAACAAACAGAATATATGTATAAATATATATGAACGGACCTGCAATAAAGATCAAAAAGCTAGGTTACAGACACACATTAACTGCGAAAATGCTTACATCCATGGAAAAGGCTTCATTCAGCCTTTCAGGCCTACTGCATAGACTGAAACCTGGTACAAAAACATCAAGTGCTACATTTTCAGCAACTTGTCATTAAATAACCTCTACTTGTTGGGTGGCAAGCTGTCATCAAATTAACGTCAGTGCGCTTTTTCATGAAAGCAGAATTGAAGTGACTTCTCTGAACTGACAGTAATGGCGTGAGCGTGAAGGCCCACAGCCACATAAAAACCCAGTGTAGGAAGTTACATCCTGGAAAGTGACCACTGGACGACAATCTGCCAGTGGGTTGGAAATGTTAAAGATGCTTTTTATTTGTCGAGCAGACAAACCCACAAACGCTAACAAGAGGATGCTTTTACTGCCACTGACAGCTGGGTGGTTGTTCCGTTATTTTTTCCATTGGTACACTATGATTGCTGGTGATGTTTAAACAAGCCCGAGTGTACAGCAGCTCTGAGAGGTTCTACTGAATCATAGTGGTACTTTGAGCTAAATGTTAAAATACACTCATGGTAAACGTGCTAGAATCACTGTTAGCACAAGACACAGCTAAGATATACGTTCACAATACAAAGTGTTGAATAAATTTAACACTTGACAAGATGATGGCTTTAAAAGAAAATAATGGAATGATTAAAGATTGCTGGATAGTCAGAAATATTACAGTGTAATACATCAAAGCTAGCAAAGAGGATACAAAAACAACTGTCAGTGCAAACTATCGCAAAATCTACTTAAATAAATACCAACAATCAGCCTAATGCTGTCATGATATTAGAAATGTAATTGCTAGTGAGACTACCAGCTGAATGAATGATTCTTGATACGCAATTTGACACCAAAACAAAGTGATTATTACATGTACTTCAACACAAACGTCTCGATTAAAACGTTACGCTGTTGCCAGTTACTTTAGGATAACAGCACAAAGTACTTCCATGTCCAACAGTGTCCACCTGTCTTCATCAAAGGTATCCTAAATATTAGTTCTGTTGACCTCTGGTGACCTACAACAGCTTTCAATCCGAGTAAGTAACATGTCTGGAAAAATCTAATACTAACATGGTGCCAAGTAAACTGAAAAGGCTTTTGGAAATCAGACATCATTCAGAAAGAAACCCATTTCGTAAGAGAACTGGCTTTATATTCTGAACCTTCAGATGGACAAAATAGTAGTTAGTTATTTGGACAAAAGCAGCTGCCAGAAACCAGCTTGCAGAGTTTGCCATCCTTAGAGGCTCACTAATGTAGCTAAAAAGGTTTCTCTTTCCATTAAGGTTTCTAAATCTGCCAAAACCCACAAACCAGAATAAACATGAACAAAAAAGGAGGACGGCTGTGTGCATGTGAATGGTACAGAATGGCTGAAGGTGTCCTTTTATCAGTACAGGCTATATTTATGTGCTCTGTGCACATGTTTAAGAGATTGCACATGTGAAAGAGATTGTGATCGGAACAAGGAAAGGAACAGATGTGTGCACTTCGCTCAGTAAGGCTATAAAATGGCGTTTAAACTCTTTGTGGTGAGGCAGCAGCGGTAACAGATTGCTCCCTGGAAACAGCAAACACACATGTCACGCACACACTTGTTTCAGGATTCATCCCGATGAGTTCAATACAGGTCAGAGAGCATCCAGACTCAGCGACTAGGCTTCCTAATAGGAACATTTTAACTTCCACCCACCCAGAGTGCTACTAAAAGCTAGGCTTCAATAACATTGTCAGTCACTGAACATAATGATAGAGTCTGGCACTGAAAACACAAAATGTCATTTTGATGTCAGATGCAAAGCCCACTCTGAGAGGTTAGATTTGTATCCAACAAGTACGTCTATTGTGCTCTTTTCATTTTTCATCTCTCTGTTTGTATTCCTCATTTTGTTTTCTTTTGCCTGGAGCTTTTCCTTTTTGTTTTCTTCTCCAAATTTCTTTTGTTTCCTGACAGCCTGAACATTTCTGAATAAATCTGACACATTTATTTGTATTTTTGTACTGCCATCTTTTGCAGATCTTGTTGCAAAACTATAACAGATAAATTGTTCACTTAAAATCATAAAAATAACCTCAATGACACAGTTACTTTCAAAGATTCTTTTCATGTTTAATTAAAACAGAAAAAACCCAAACCAACAAAAACATTCAAATATCTTGCTAAATGACGTGGTGAAAATTGTAATTAGATCTCTTGAATGCTTACTGTAAGGCTATATTGTTTTTGTATTTTCAAAGTGAGGAAAAGCCTAAACGACCTCTTGAAGCCTGTAGCTATACTAATTCACACCAGCCAGGATAAGTTTCTTCTGTCAGAGTCAAGTGAACCAGCTCTATTGTACCCAGGGCTATTAAGGCTTTTGTTGCTGAACACACAGAGTGAGCTGTACCTGCTTGTCAATAATGAGGTGTGGAACACAGCCAACAGTGAAACCGCCATCCTCAGCCTGTGGTTTTATCTGTGGTTCATCATCCACTGAGAAAAGCAAAGGTAAGAAACACCTAAAAGTACTGAACCTTTCTATATAAAGGCACATGTAAATCAAGTACCCAAGAATAGTTTTCAGTTACTGTTGTCAATTTATAGCAATGTGCTGAAGTAATGATGACAAGAGACAAGGATGGCATGGACTGAGCAATGGTCTCTTCAATCGACCCCGCCTATTCGCAGTTCAGTATTCGCAGATTTTCTTCGTAGGGCATTTCTAAAATATTTGCTAATCATTTTAATTTTATTTTTGTGACTAAGTAAATTTTTATGATAGAAAAATGATTTACTAATTTTCAAATATTCATATTAATGTAAACACAGCAAAATATCAATAAAATGTCGAAATTCCAAACACAAAGCTCCCAGGAAAGAAAATGCAGCTTGGGAAGCTGAAATATATCAGCATTTTAAGAGAGGGTCCCAAGTATTTGAGGATTTCAGCTATTCACGGGAGCTTGTGGTCCCTATCCCCTGTAAATACCGGGGGTCGACTGTACTATAATTCCCTTGTAATGTATTCAAATCACAATTCAGTCTAACTTAAAAAAACAAACTTGAACTAATAGCCCCAACACAGGACAATCACTTAAAAAAAACTTCATTCCAAAGTTCAAATAAATTATTTAATTGTTTGCATCAGTACTTCACCTAAATGTAGTTAAACTCAAAAGCTAATTAGGAGGTAATCAGCATCACAAAAGCACATTTTGTATGTTTGGTATTGCCACAGGATAAATAATTAGTCAGACGTCGACACTGTTATTAAAATATAATCGCTCAGTAACTTTCGTTCACTCAGAAGCAAACGCATATTTGTTTTTTAATAACATTTAATTGAATTTTAATAGAATATCTACATAGGCATACCCAAGCCCATTTTCAGGAAACCATCAAACCTGCGCTCTAGTTCAAAACTAATGCGAGTTTATGAGGTTAAAAAATAATTTTTTATGAATCAAATAAGTTAGCACAGCTGAAAACTAAACAACCTCTAAACATTGTACTAGTTGAGCGACTCAGGCTTCAGCATTTGTATGTTATTACAGTCTAAAATTGTCCCCCAAAAAACAGTAAAACTCAAACTTTTAAGAAATAGAGACAAATTTATGTGGAAAAACTGCCACAAAAACTAAATGCAATGGTGGGTATTACTCCAGTGAGATAACAACACAGACTAAATCTAACCAACACAGAAAGAGAGCTGGGAGTTTCCAGTTTTTAGTTTGACAAACAGGCGCCTCACAGGTCCTCAATCAGCAGATTCATTAAAAGATGCCCACAAAACACGCTAACAGTGAAGAGGCGACTCCTGGAAGAAATATCTGAGTCTTAAAAATGATGCTGCATATCTGAGACTAGGCAATATGAAAATAAAATAAAATGAAAAATAAAACCTAGACACTGAGCATAAGAAGATTAAAAAACCCTGCAGAGACAGGCCAAAACAATTTGTGAACAGAAGAATAAATAAAAAGACCCAAACTACAACTTCCTCTGCAAAAACTATTTAGAAAAGAAACAGTTTGCTTTTATTTTCTCTGCACGTTCGGTGAACAGAACAGCCACCACATCCCTTTTTAAGTGCCCATCAACCAAGTCAGTTCATGTGTCCAGATGACCTAAACTGAATGCCAATTATAATTTCTATTTACACTGCAAATCATGTGATTAAGTTTGAGTTTTCATGAAAATTTTCTGGATGATCCTAAACTTTATAAATAAAGAAAGATAACACAGTAAATGGGAGAAAATAGTTTTTGAACATTTCAGAGATTTCTCAGCCCTTCAGTGCATTTGATGTTGTTACAAAAAGCCACATTTCCAACAATAAGAATCATTTGAAGATGCAAAACATACAGGCCAGTAACATATACTAGTCGAAACCCCCCAAACAAAACACAAAAACAAATAGGCAATGCAAGCTTTAAGTCATGACTGCATTTTCTGTTAGTACAACATTTTAATCTTTTAAGTACCCAACTGCCAGGGTTCTGGGTCTCCTGACCCAGCATGTTTAGTTCTTTGCGATTTTTGTATTATTGTACTTGTGTGAGGTATTCTATGGTTTCTAGGTTCGATCCCTTGCCCTTCATGTTTCTCTGTGTCCCCTCTGTTCTGTGCAAGTCTGTGTCTGCATGTTTGAGTTTCCCTCTGTGTCTTTCGGGTCTTAGAGTCCTCTGCCTTATGGTTTATGTCTCTGCGTTTCTTAGTTGCTGTCTCCACTGTGTCAAGTTCGCGTCTCTGTGTCATACTTCCTGTTTTACTTTGAAGGTCCATGTCTTATGTGAATGCATCCTGCTTTGCTTGTCTCGTCAGTCCTGATTATTCTCCCAGTTGTGCCCACCTTCTGTGTCTCATTCCCCTCGTTACTTCCCAGTGTATTTAAACCCTGTGTTTCTCGTTGCTGGACCGTTGCCGACCCTCGTCAGTGTAACCCCAGCGCAGTTACCTCGAGAGTGTTTTCTCAGCGATTTGACTTTATAATCACTTCGTGTCTCTGTGTACAGATTCCCTGGACCAACCCCTGTGTTACCTGAGTGATTGGAGTGTGAAGAGGTACGTGAGGAGTGGACAGAGTGTGTGTGTGTGACTTTCAGCGTCTTTCCCGTTCGTGTGTGGACCCCCGGAGCCCGGCTTTCCCCTCACCTTTGTAAATAGATCACCTGGTGTATTGTAATAAAGACTCCTGTGCTTTCAAGACCTAGAGCCTGCGCGTGAGTCCGTTCAGTCCCGTTGTGACACAAACATATTCTGTCAGTAGTTTTCAGTTGTGATCAACTGGTTTCAGTCAGTGGCAGGATTGATGTGTTTACTGAACACAAATGAACTCTCTTGTACAGTCCAGAATCAATCAGTTTATTGTATTTTCAAGCCAATACTCTCCAAACACAAAAGAACAGTGTACACACAACACTGTCATCAGTGCCACCATGCCGTGACTGACTGAAATTGGCTAAGGCTACTGGCATGCTGGATGCTGACATGAGTGTCCAAAGCTGTTCCTGCAGCCTCGCATATCCATGAGAGTACTATCACAGATCTGATTCCTCTTGACGAAAATCGGAGTGGTGAGCGGTACCAAGCTGAGGTGTTAGATAGAGCTTGACCATTATAATGGTGGGACTCATATCCCTGGGGCTGATACGTTTACATTTACTGAAATATCAGAATCAGCTTTTATAACAACAGATAAATGAAAATGTTAAAAAGTCAAAACACTCTTCAATCCTGAGTGTTCACGCTGTATAATTTGTCGAGCAAAGGGTACTTTGAAACTTCCCTGTAGGCGACACCTTTCGCCAGAAACACAACAATTAATTGATCTGAGGAGAGTCGGCCAGAACTTAAATAAGTTATTCCCAAGCTGTTGTGAGAAAAAAAAACCAAAACAAGCTAATATGACAATGCAGTTCACAAACTATCTTAGCAAGGATTCATAAATTTCTATGCACATCACAGGTTCAGGAAATTCATTTAAGTTTCATGTGTTTGACAGAAACAAAAAATATCAGCTCATACATTGAAGTTTTAAATCTTCAAATATTGCTATCAGTCTTAAAAATCCTACATCAGGTGGATCTGGAAACTTGCTTAGTCCAGGTGCTGATGGGTGACTGCTTGTATCACTTCCAGAGGTCACCTCATTTGAAATGTTTTGTATATCTATACTGCATATATGTGCATATATTATAAGTTCCATTGCATAATATAAAAATGTATCTAACAATCTTATTCTCTCTCTCTCTCTCTCTCTCTACTGGGCTGCAGATAAGGATGCCCAGCTCACTTCAGATGTGACATGGATGCCAGAAAAAAGTAAAGCGATAGCTGTATCTGCCTACTACGGGCATTAATTAACAACATCAAATGTTACAAGAACAGTGTGAAGTCCCCCCCCCCCCAAAATAAAAAAGACAAAACCAAAAAACAAAATCCCATTTGAACAGTAGACAGAACCAGCGATGGATATCTAATGTTCATACCTCAAGAAATTAGTGGTAATTACTGAGTGAGCAATTAGAGTAATGGATCTAACATTTAGGGTCTCACTGCAGAGCAATTAGATGTGTCATTACTTGAGAGTTCGTGATAAGAATACAGGTCTAGAGAGAAATTCTTTTAAAAATGAAAATCCTTACTTCCAGATAGGACATGGACACACTGTACAGCATGTCATCACTGGTCTCCTCAATGGCACGGAACAGGTCATTCAGAGTTCGAACATAGATGCCTGGCTCCTTGTCAGTTCCTAACATGGTGTATGTCTTTCCACAACCTGAAAACAAAATATAATGCCTCTCATAGACCCAGTCTTAACCACGTAGTGAGCACCCAGTGACGGACAAAATTAGCTACAGAGGTGAATTTGTGAAAAAACATTTTAAAGTATAAATAAATGCCAATCATTTGCTCCTAACCTGTTAACTTTGTAGTTTCAAGGAGGAAACAACATGCATACACATGAGTGGCTACAACCTCTGTGCTTACTTTCCACAAGAGGAGGCCAAGAGTAGAGCTTGTGTGCGAGAAATGGCCAGGCAGAAGGCAAAAAATGAAAGCAAGAGAAAGGTGGGAAACTTGATGGAGCAATGGCTCTGTACTAGTCTTTGACAGCCTGTGACTACCCGCTGGAAATGTGGGATGCAGAGCATGACTCATTTTCTAATCAGGCCTTTGCTAAAATCAAAAGTGAAACAGGTGTTAATAAGATGTCTACCTTTTCCCAAGAGCTTGCTGAATAGCTCTCTGGCTCAGGCTGACAACAGGTCAGGAGGGTTGCACATGTAATTAGTGTATGATACACCTATGAGCACTGAGACTGAGTACTAAGAAATATATTTGGTTCTTGTTCAATGCACATACACACGCACAAAACAAACCTGTGGGTCCATAGGCAAACACAGTGGCATTGTAGCCTGATATAAGGCCCTCAATTAGGCCTTTTGTTGTTGCCCGGTACACTTCCTCCTGTATAGGGAGAAGAAAGGGTTCAGACCATACATAAACAGCTACACATCAATATGAATACAGTGCGAGATTTGCATAAATTTATTTTCGTTTTTTCTTTAACTCCTGACAAACCTGACTAGCGGAGAAGTCAAATGCTACATCAAACATGTAAGTCTTCTCCCTCGAGCGATTGGCACGCAAGATGTCGTCTGGGTCCTCCATGGGGTCCATCAGAACCACCATCTAATGATGAAGAAAATGGTTAAGATACAGGAAAAGAAGACAGGCCTTTGCAGGCAAGGGGCTAAACACTATTGACATCAGCGAGGCCATTGAACTTAGTAATGTGTTTGTTGTATAGACAGTATGGTTTACTTTTAATAACAGTGGAAAGATGTGCTAATGAGCAAATGGGCTCTCTATTCAGTGACATTAGGTCCAGCTTGAAAGTGTGGCAAAGATAAATGACAAGAAGGTCAGCTGAAAGGCTACTGAAGTGTATTTCTGCTGGGATTAGATGGATGACTGTTCACTAATCATTACAATATCTCATAAGTGCAGGAAAACAAATATAAACGACCGCTCAGTTTCCAGGACTAGCTAACACAAAATAAAGATATGTCTCTTTGTGGCAGATCACTGCAGATGCAAGTTTCTGTTGAGCCCCTTACTGTGCTGTACATCTGGAAAAACGAGATAGCCATTTGCTTGATGTCCCCCTTCAGGCCAATGAGATGAGCTCCAGTACCTACTTAATGATCATAACACACCATGCTCCAAGTGTGTCCATTTGGATTTATTTTACTACATTTATGTCTTCTAGTAGGTTTTAGCATTCAATTACCTTTTGTGACTATTTTAAAGGTTCCAGTTCACCATCTCGCCAACCTTTATAGTTTCCACATTTGCTAAAACAGCTGTTGGTGTTAAATGACTGAATTGACTGTTTGTGACAGTGAAGAGGAATGTTCTGTGTAGTAGTATCAACTTACACCAATTTGTAACAGCATTTCTGTATTTTCTTGAATTAAAGGTGCATGTAATTAGCACTAAATTATATGTGTATAGACATATACACATACATACGCACACACTAATTACTGGGGATTCTCCATAATCTGTTAATGTGGTCACAGGGGCAAACATGGTTTACCACAGATGGTATTTTAATATATTCAGATCCAAATTAAAGATGTACAAAAAAAGCAATTGTGCAACTTCACTTTTGTGCACCTTTGAGCCTAAATGTTAAAAGTAAAAACTTTAGTTAGTATAACTTCTTCCACCTATATATTATTAAAGTTAATGGTAAGAAATTGCATGTGAAAAATGACAATGCCGGCGGAAGCTATTTCGTCCAGGAAATGAAAGCCACTTCTTGTGACAAATACAGTCCCCTCTACACTCATTTCACAGCTTGTATGTAGAATATGCATTTATGGAAATGGGAATCCACTCAGGCCATCTGTCTGAATCATTTTCATAGAACAAAAAGCAGCTCACATGGCAAAGACAGTCATGCAGTAAAGAGACAAACTTCAGTTTTTTTAGGGAGAAAATTGGAAACATTGGTGTTAAAAATATGCTTTTGTACATGTGACAGCCACGGTGGCAGATATTACACTGAATGTGAATAAGCACTGAAATGTCACATTCTTCTAATTGTTCGGTTTGACAAAACTAGTCCATTATCACTAGTAAATCACATCTCTGAAAAAGAATATTTCAGAAACAATGCAGAAACAGAACATCACGACATCAGGAAAAATATATTACAATAAGGATGACAAATCTCAGGCTCAGAGTGGTTCCAACTGACTTGGTGTGATTGTACACAGCTGAAGGAAAATTAGTTTTCTCACAGTATTGTAGGTTTGAATCTTGTGCAACTGACCTGGGAGAAAAAATAATAAAAACAGAGAGCACTTAAGTTTATTTTAGATATGACTATGGGGGGGCTAGGGGTTTGTCAGCTGACCAGCTCCTTTCAGCAGTGGGCCTTGAGAGTCCTCTGAGGCCTGAAGCACCCGGCATGTTTGATGACCCCCCCCACTCTTCCAACCCCACCAACCACTGAACCGCTCACTTTGAAGCCTCTCAATTGAAATTCAAGAGAGGGTGGGGGGGGGGTTCCACTTTTAATAAACTGGGAACAACAGATGAAGGCGGGGAGCATGGCAGGCGTACGCAGGTTGCAATCAGAAAAGAGGGGGGACAAAGAGAAGAGTAAAGTATTAAGAAAAAAAGAGTAAACATCGAAGGCATACAACTATTTGTTCTTTGAATTTATATCGTTACTTTTTCAGTTAGTATTTTTTCTATGGCATACACGTGAATGCCCCAATGTCCTTTCGACCCAAAGATAACATGTCCAACAACTGATGCCCATTCTTCCTCTTTCCCTAACTTCCTCCGTCTCCTGTAGCACCCAGATACCATGACGTACAAGCTCTGATCGCATTTCATAGAAAAGATACTGTGAACAACATAGTACTTCTCTTGGGTGCTCTTAAGCCACTTAGTCTCAGTCAATGTGATGACCTTCACAGACAATGTGAGTGTAGTCAGAAGAATTATTCTGGCAAAGAGCAGCAAAGACACAAAAAGTGTGTAATTGAACATCTAATAATAAAATAAATGTATCAAAGTGGTCAGGAGCAAAAGAGGCCATGCCAGTTGTAGTTACACCCAAGTGAGGGAGTGTTTTTGCCCACCTCTTAAGAGAAACCACTAGTCCCAGCGGTGACAAGAGGTGTAGGCAGGAAGGCCCGGGATGGACAGTCAGGCAAACAATAGTGACCCTTTCTGGCATTAACCTATTGTGACCATGGTAAAATGTAACTTTAACTCTAGATAGATGTTGTCAACCACAATTCCTCTTTCAGTCATCTTTCTATGATCTGAACTACACCTGCCACAACAGAGAAGGCAGTGAGGGAAAATAAAAAATTTAGTTCAATTCAGTTTTATTTATTTATCATCATCTGAAAACACTTATTCTTGTAAGAAAAAGAGCACAACATTAAACATAGATTTGCAACAGTAAAGTGATCCTTTATGAGTGAGCATTTGGCAACACTGAGGAGAAAAACAATCTTTAAAAGAAGCAGCAGAAATGATCACTTTGCTATAAATTTTTGTTGTTGTTCTTGTACACAACAAATGCATAAAACGAGTGTTTTCACATTTTCTGCACCCCTGGAAAGACTTTTTGGAGGTGGGGGCTAAAAAGTACCAGTTCAAATGTAAACAAAAACTATAACGGAGTAAAATGTTTCCTTTTTGAAGTTAGTTGGTTTTATGTTGAAAAGCGACATAGCTTGTTAATATATGCAAGGCATATATTAACTTGTATATATGCTTGTGTAATTTTGTTGCTTGAAAAAGCTGATGAGCACACAGCAGTGCTGTTACATAATAGCAAGTATCAAATGCATGCTTTCATGCACAGTTCTGTTTCTGTGCATGCGCTTGGGAAATCATTAGGGACCAAGGGTGTTGATAACACATATAGTCCCATCTGTCATCTGTGTTTCTTGAGTTACAGTACAGGCTACCTTCCCACAGCTCCACCCATGAACATCCACACACAGCATCTGCTGCTTGGAAAGATTCTATACTATTAATTTTCTTAAGTCTCCTGATAAGACTTTAAGGTGCTGGCTCTAGTGTCAGTACACTGTGTGGCAACATAAGACAGGATGTCTGGACATGTGCCTAGCCTTCCTGGGTTTAGAAGTTCTCGACACAGACGGCCTTTACCGTAGGTTGTTCTCTGCATTTAATTAAGAGGCTTCTGAGAAGTGTCTGAGGTTAGGTACAGGTCAGTATTAGCCCTTGAGCACTGACGTCTAGCGTACAGAACAGGTTAAGAAACGCTTAGAAACGTAGTGTTCTTGACATTAGCTTTATACACATCCTCCCTCTTTCCGGTTTTTGCTCACAGTTACATGGAAACGTACTCAAACACTCAAAGCGAAAGAAGCATGTTGATGTGTATAAGATGAAAAAGACAGAGTTTTAACGCACTTATGAAACACAGTATGTTTGAGCACAAAGAAATTCACCTATACAAAAGGTACGTAATTTATTTCCCCACAAGAACCGATTAATCACATTTTGCCACCATGAGCACATTTGGCAAATGTTAAGATGAATTGATGAAACTGTTAAAATGGCAAAATGAGCCTTAAAATAGTTAATCAAACTCATCTCTCTTGAGTTGAGCTTACTTGAGGCGAAGCTGTGAGTCAGTGAACAGCTGCACAGCAACCATTCTCCAAACACAACTGCTACAATACAGCGAGCACATAGATCATTATAAGGGCCTATGTGTTTGCTGTTAACGATCAAAGTAAAGGACAGGCCAAAACTGTGATAGTATAGTAACAGTCAATTTGCCATCACGTCCATTAATGGCTTAGCACTCTGATGATAACAACCAATTGCAGCAGCCAGTGTGTGATTTCTAAACCTCTACCAAAATGGTTAAACTTATGGGTAGTGGTCAAACCATGATCTTTCAAAGATCCGGAAAGACACAATTTTAGATGTTTGACGTCAAAACAAGACTTTTCACTCAGTTCTAAATTGGCTCTTGTTGTTATTTCTACCAGGACCAATCGCCCCTTTTCACTGGCTGCTGACTTATTCATGGGCACCTCTGAAGGAGACATCAATTTTGACACAAGTGGGCTAGAAGCCCGATGCGCCTGAGAAAAGCACAAAGTGAAAAGGAAAGCAATTTCCTGGTTGACAGCCTCTACAAGCATGGTGTCATTTTTAGCAGTTTTAATCATGGTGTCACAATGGACATCACATGCTACAGCCACTTTTCATTTGGATGCAGCGCGTGACTCATTTTAACTTGACCTCGGAGGCTGGCAAAAAGAAAATGGTCAGAGCGTGAATTTATACACGGTGGCTAAGAAAAAAAGAGGCTATAAAATATTTATAGTATCTCAAGGATCAGCCAAAGTCCGACAACAGCTTGCTTATGAGGCGACATGAACCCAATTAGCATGATGGCATTATCTATACACCTGCAATAAACAGTGTGGTGAGATGGAGCAGTGCTGCCTGGTGCTTTTCTTGGCTGATATGAATGATGATCCACAAGACTTGCTGTTGGGGTCATTACACCAGCAGGACTGACTTGGTTGGCCATCCTGCTGACTATAGCACAGCTAGCCCCCACCGTAGATCTATAATTCAAAGCCTGGATGTGGTGCGGTTTCACTAGC